AGAGCTGTTTCTCATTGGTTGTGGAAGCCTCTGCACTGGACATGTGCCCAGATGCACATGAGGGACATGACAGCCAGCTCATTGAGGCCATCAGAAGATAACTAGTACCATGGATGGCAGAACAAATTGGACAGCTCTCCGGCCAAACTTTAACAGCAAATATCTGAGTGGGTGGATACTCTGAGGTAGAAACTGTCAGCCAATGGACCATGGAAAGATCTCCTCAACCTTAGAGCAATGAAATCAACAGCATCTCAGAACCATCAAAACCACTTATGCAGTACCTTCAGAACATGCTCCACATTGGTGATCCTGGGATGACACCAGGTAACCATCCCCCATCCTCTGCTACTGATGTGGCTGGACTGCTGGGAGAGGCCCTGTCCCTGCATCTCCCCACTTTCTCCAGATGCAGAAAGAAAAAGAGATTGGAGATAGCTGTCTCTTCCACTTTCCCCCACTGCCCAAACTTCCTCACCCTAATCTGTGATCCACATGGGCATTCACCCTTCTTAACAATGTAAACATTATCAAAAAATAAAATAAATTCATTATATATAAAACAGTACATGAAATTGTAATTACATAAAAATAAACATCCTCTAAAAATGTATTCTCCATGAGCTTTCTGAACAACTACATTTAAAGGTACATCATATTTGGCCACTGAAGGACTGAGCTAAATTGAGTTTGGGTTGTATTTTTGTAATGCTCATGCAAGTGCTCATGCATTGCTTCTTCTTGGTACTCTTCAGCAGTTTAAGCTAAAGGCCATCATGATTATTTAGAATTTTTCACCTTGGTGAAGAGTAAAACATGCTTTTTGTTTTGTCAGCAATGTGAATTGGCTAAAACTGTCATTCTGCTATTCAGTAGCTGACCTGTTTTGTTTAAACATCGAGAGAAACAAACAAAAAGGCAGTGAAATGACGCTGTCATCCATGTGCTGGCTCACTGCTCCAATGCTAGTAAGAGCTGGGGCTGGGCAGACTGGAGCGTAATCTGGTACATCTTACAGAAGTTTCAGCAATGCACTTTTCATTCATTGATTCCTTATACGGTATGCATTAGCAGAAAGCTAGAGTAGAAAACAGAGTCCTGATTTAAAGCAAACCACTTTGATATGGGATGTGGGTGTCCCAATCTATGCTTTGAACTCCTCAAAGTCTGCATCAAACACTTATCCATTTCATGGTTCTCTGCCTGTAATGTTGGGAAAAATCACAGATATTGTGGCTATCAAGTCACTACTTAAAATGACTATTTCTTCATACCTAATTTCTTTCCCAGTACAAAGACCCTTCTCTCTTAGCTGTCTAGCTGTTTCCTAATCCCAGTCATTGCCTTTCTAATCATCAGCCTTAATTCATTTCTATCATTTTTAAAGTTTGAACTAGGGTGGTTTTACTTATTTATTTGAATTTTCTTGTATAAGAACCATATAAGGAATATATGATTACAAAGAGAAGAGCATAGCATGAAGGCTGTGGCTGTGGAGTGATGCTGTCTTCTATTGGTTCATTTTCCAAATGGGGAAAAAATGACACATTGTAGAAAGTATTGGCAAAAGAAATATAAATGGCATTAAATTAAGTAAGTCACTTTCTACAGTTCCAGATGGACTGTCAATTTCTCCTGTCAATTGTAAACTCCTTGAGGGTAAAAACTTTTTTTCTAGACTCTTGACAAATATGAATCCCTAAGATGCTTACAAATTTAGTAATCTGTGTTAAAACAGAGACAAAAAAGGAGTAAGATGACAGTAAATACTGAGTATGTTGAAAAGTGCAGAAATAGAATGTAGTAAAAGGATTTCTCCAGCGTCAACTTGGAAAGCATTTGTCTTGCAGCATTCTGAGTTGAGAGTGCTTGTATTATGAATCTATTCCATTAGCATCAGAGCCAGTATTCTAAATAGCATGATATGGAACATTAAAACAATTATCCATTTCCCATTATCAGATACTTCAGACTATTCCACCCACGTACCAGGAAATGGCTTTTGTATTACCAGTTTGAATACTGTTGAATCTTACTGAAGATCATTGTAGCATTTTAAAAACATTTTGGAACTTTATTTTTATTAGCAGATGCCTCTAAATACATTTCAAAATACCTTCTCAAGAAAGAGGATGAAGTAATTGCAAACTAAAATCTAAAATTAGCAAACTAGATGAGTAAGCTTTTAAAATCTATGTATTAAGTGAATCTTACTAAACTGAATGAATAAGATTTAGCAAATCATAAAATGAATTGTTAACACTTTATAGGTGGTAATTTGTTTAAAACATATTTACTTGAACAGCATAGGAGGAGAGAAACAGCTCCCACTTGCACAGTCACTAAAGCGAGAGCTGGGAGCTTCTGTCTCCATCCAGCTCTTCTGGCAAGGACCCAACTCCTCAATCCGTCATCTGCTGTGTTCCAGAATCTGTATCAGCAGAAAGCCTGACAGCAGAACCAAGATGCAGTTTGGCTCTAGGTACTACAGTGTGGGTCGTGAGAGTTAACACCTTCATAAACAGGCTGAATGACCATGTCTCAGTCTTTAATGCAGTGTAATTTTCTAGAATCAAGTTGAAATTAAGTGCTCTAGTTTTGCTTTTCAAAGTATATAAAAACATCCTTAAGAGAGTTTGCGAGAAAAAAATAAATTAAAAGTCAGGTTTATTTTGATTCAAACATTTTTTTAAATCCTTGCAGATTTTTCACAATATGAATTTTCCATGAACTTGCTCGAAGATTCTCTGAATACATACTTGCAAGTAGGGGAAAGATGGAGAAACACTTTCCCAATGAAAGCATCATTCTGAAGTAAATGCTGCCACCTGTCCTGGACAGTCTTCCAGGGGAGAACTTGGTCCAGGCTTTGTGTTTTGGGTGCTGAGAAGGTGGTTACCTAGCAACAACCCCTCCCCTCAAGTATCTGCTGCAGGAGTGGTACTGCAAACGTCAGTGAATTGATTGCTTGTTTGCAGATTCTGAAAAGAATAATACAGTAATGTGGTAGGGCACATATCTCAATTGTAAGTAACGTGAGATTTTTCTCCTTATCTGTGGAGGTTCTGCTGCTCATTCCTCAGTTGGTGCTGTTAGAAGCTTATCTAAAAGGACTGGATAAGGGCTAAAACACTAATCACCAAAGAAAATGAAGGAATTTCAGACATTTTCATGATTATCATTCCTTTCCAGTTTTCTCATATGGCAAGCAATGAAACAGTTACTATATTCACAACAGTGTTCTAGCTGGGCAAGAAGTAATCATACCACAATGTGTCCTCAGAAAGGAGAAAGCCCAGGATTGGGTGGGGTTCAGGAGAAACAGAACATACACAATCTAAACATGTTTCGGATGACAGCACTAGACCATCTGAAGGTAAAATTAGTGAGATGCTAATTTACACAGAACATATACATAAGGTATTTATGTTTACAATAAATAAGCCTAACCATATGTTACCAATAACTTAGCTGGAAAGCATACACTTTAGTAAACATCACACCATATATTTGATTTAACTGTGAAATGCATCACAAACAAATTACATCCTCTTTGCCTCATGATGAATGTTTATTCTCAGGGACAATCCCACCAGTTGCACGCACAGCTGAGAAAGCAGGTAATCTGAATAAAGTGAAATGGTAAGAAGGCAATTGCAGGCCCTGCCAATGGAAAATTATAGTGAATTAGTTTATGTGCTTTCATAACATGAAGACATAGATTCTAAAAATCTGTTGAATGAACATTAAAGTGCCAAGTATGTAGGAACAAGTAGGAAGAGAAAAAGGAAAAAGACTTTGGTTTATAAAATTTTCCATGATGCAAAGAACTGAAGCCAGTTTCTCTGCAGACACAGCCTTGATGCTCAGGGCAGCTGCTTGCCAATGCGTAGGAACCTGTCACTTGCAAAGTAGCTTTCTGAGCCTTACCCTGCGTTGCCTCCTCCCCAGCCCACCACACACTGTATGTCACTTGCTCACTGAGCTCTACCACCAAGGAATTCTTTGCAGAGCATTAATTGACAGTTGCAGTCACAGCCTGAGGTTTCTGCTTTTGAAAAATGCAAAACAATTGGATTTAAAAGGCACACTCTTCAGATTTAAACTAGCTAGAGATTCTGACACTAGCTTCCCCCGATTTCTAAGCCCTTAAAGTGTCAGTTAATAATAATAATAATAATAATAATAACATGTATTTACCTTTGACCGTAGCATATAATAACCCTTGTTATTTTCAGTTTTTGTCAGATTCTTGCAACTATTTTGAATAGAACTTTAACCATGAATGTCACTTCAAAAGGAGTCTCTTATTAAGCCAACGTCATAGCAGGGTGAGGCTGAGTACAGAAAGGTTTGCTGCCATCTGTTCCTTGGTACTTTAACTGGTCAGATGTCACATATTAGAGGGAAGGGAACTGACAGGCAAAGGGGCAGCATTAGCATCAGCAAAATGTTTTGGTTGGTGATCTGTCAGGATAGAAATCATCAGAGTGGGGGAAAATGTTACATTATTTAAAGTTGATCAATTTGCAGATTTTTTTCTGAGTAGCTTAAGCATGTGTGTTAATGAAAGCAATATATATATGTGTGTGTGTGTGTGTGTATATATGTATGCAGATACATTTTACAGAGAGTCATTTGATCCAGAAATTTCCTCTATAACTACTCTTAAATCGCTTCTTTAACTACTGGTATTAAAAAGAGAGAGAGAGAGAGAGACGCATTTTGATTGATCCAGGTGAGCTGGAGATTTTATATTGGGACTGAACAAGACTCACTTGGTGTGCCTCAGAACCCCCACGAGATAGCAGAGCTAATATCTAGTAGCCCAACAGTTAAAATAATTGATGAGTGTGTGCTGAATCCTCCAGAGAGGAGGGAGGAAGTGAGGAGGAGGGGGGAGGAGAGGCGAGGAGGGAGGAGAGGAAGAGAGCAGGTGCTGATTTCAGCCCTGTAGCGTCAGGATTGCGTCAATTCGGGTTTCAGCCACGTCTGGAGTCTCAGAGACGAGCTTCTGAAGAGAGGCAAAACAGGAACGGAGGTGGCAAATCACTGTGCGAAGGCGAACGGACCTTCCTCTTGGCCGCCTCCCTGTTCCCGGCGCAGGTCTCCAGGGCTCTGTTGTTTTCAGCACTCGGAAAAGCCGGCGCTTCACATCCAAGTAAATCAAACCAGGGAGTTTTCTTTTCAGCACCTCGGACAGAAGCACGCAGCAAAAAAATGGCTCCTATCGCTACCAGCAGAGAAGAATTTGGTGAGCAACTTATTCAACTTGAGGCCACTGTGGTTGTTTGGATGCGGCGGGGTGGGCTGTATTTATTTTATTTTTCGATCCCCACTGGATTTAGGATACAGATTTCCTGGGTAGTTAATTTGAAAGGAAAAATGACAACTGCAAACTGACAGTCGTGGCTTGTTTCTGAGTTTCTCTCTGTGTCTGTATCTTGCCCATTAAAATTTCTGTTCCTAAGGGGGGGACTTACCTCCACCAAGTTCTTAAACCCTCAGGTAGCTCTGTGAATTATAACATGTGCTTAATCCAGGAACAGGAGTCCGTTGTTTGTATTCTGGTTTCCTTTATTTCATACGGAATTCTTACTTGTAATTAAAGCTCTATTTTATAAGGAGGAGCCAAATACCTAAATGGTTACATAAGAGTTTGCCCTGGTATAGAGCAACTCACATACTGAGGGCTTGAAATGGATGTTTTGTAACAGTTTGTCATAAGCATGTTTTTCCTTAGTGTTTAATATTCTTAAAATGTGTTGTTATTGAAAGAGAATTCTGTGATAGTACAATTAAAGGGACTTTGTATATGAATGGTTCAGTCCTTTTCATTACTGGTGAGATGAAGTGAGGCTTAGATAAGTACAAAAACTGTTGTAGGTTTCATCGTTGTCCAAAAGCTTCTAGAAACTTGAATCGAGGCTCTTGTTTTCCAGTTCAGTTTCCCTGTATGAAATTCTTGGTACCATAGCTGTCTTCTCTGTTTCAATAAAACTGGTTGTACTCCCTATAAAGTAATATATTTAAGTTCAATTGCATTCCAAAGGCAACGATCAGAATGTTACTTACTTTATAAGCCTTTTTGAAATCGGGATATTTTATGGAAGTTTGTGAAGAAGAGTGATATCTATAAATGTTTGCTACCCTGAGTGAAGTGACCATAATCTTTGCTTTTAAACACTGGAGAACTGATCGGTAGATAATGCCCCCAAATAAGTGGATCTTTCCATGCTGCACTGATTTGCTGTTTGACATAAGTACGTAAAATACAGTTTATGCCATTCTACTCAGGATTTTCTCACAATCTTCAATCCCAGTGACCGGGTATACATGGTTGTGATGTTTATTCCAAGTTCTTGATGTGAAACCATAATTGTCTAATAGTGAAGCATTTTTAGAGTCTATGCTAGCAAAAATATGAGTCATATGTTCTATCATCAGCTTTCAGTCTACTTGGAAACAATTGCTTCCTACTGCTTTTTATTGTTCTTACAGTGGCTAAAGAATCCAAGACTTTGCTTTTTCTCTTTGGCTTTGGATTATTAGAGACAAGGGGGTTTATTTTTCTACCACAAAGACTTGAATAGAAGGAAAGCTGCTGCTAAGTTTGGCTGATTATCTTTAGTTCTTGCCTCATTCTTTTTTGTAACATTCACTGCTTTTTTTTTTCTTTTTGAAGACATTGAATATTCATTTTATCTTTGCATTACTCAGTCTCCTGATACCAGTAAAACACAGAATTTCTATAATAAATGACTAGGTTATTATATGTTTAAAACAATTGGTTGGTTTTGTTTCCTTAGCTGTTTCTTTTGTTTATTTTTTCCTTCATTTTCTGTTCTTTGAGCTGTTTTGTAACTATGAAGTAGATAGGTAGAATATTTAGAGAATGGGGAAGGAGCAACAAAAGATTGATGGTGAGGTTATTTAAGTGAAGCTTAACCCTTTCCTGATTGTGACTTTTAACTTTATATTTTCTTGTTATTTGGAATAAAAGGATCAGAATGGAAGCAAATGTATGTAAGAATACATTAATTATATTCTCTTGGTATTAAAAATCGATTCAGTTTATGTAGTATGTCCAATTATAGAAATGCTACTTTTGTTTACACAATGTTAGTAATCATTTATTTGAGAAATAATATTCACATAAAGGACACAATAAGCTTTGTGTATAATCAGTACTAAGGCCAGTAGTTTAATGTACCCTCGTTCAAGGAAAGGATGTCAGTTTCCATACTATTACTGATCTGTATGAATCTGTTCTAGTTAAGATTAGTTACATGTAAAATTGAAGTTCAAATGATCTATTCCACATCTCTCATTATATTCAATTACAGTCCCTTTTCTGGTCATATTCAACTTAAGTGTAATTAATTTTTCCGTTGGGAATCCAGTATTTCATTGAGGGATGGGGTTAGCATGCGAGGGGATTGTAGTGTTGTGAGTTGCATGACTTCAGCGTCCCTTTGCTCTTCGTTTCTGTTCTTTTTTTATCACTATTCCATAACTGGAATGAAAATTAATGAGGTTTTGGCAATCACAAATCCATGGAGTCCCTAGGTGTTTTCTGTTTGAATCCAGAGCAAACAAAAACTGCTAAGGTTACAGAGTATCTCAGTGTTTAAAAGCACACATTTAATGTTTGATAGCCCATAAGGATTGACACCTCTGGAAAGCCTAAAAGTGCCAATTAAATAGTAATTAAGTTAGTACTGACCCATCATGCTGTAACTGATTCATCCTAAGAAAGCAAAGTTGGTCAGGGTCACTGCGCATCCCCACAGCCCTTGTAGGCACACAGGCCCAGTCCATGTTTTCGTATTATTTATGAAAAACTACTGAAACGGCAAAGTTTTTAAATACTATGTTTATTTTTTGTATGTCACACAAGGGATATATATACAACATATATATACACATACATATATATATATCAATGCATGTGAAATATGTATGCAACATACTCAGAGAAGTTTGAAAATAACTTAGTCTTCCCAATGTGCAGAATTGATAGTGCTGTTGGCTTTTTAAATAGGCTTGTGTCTGCAACACTGATTCTTTAATGCATCTTACTGATCATTTGGTTTTTCAGATGAAATTCCCACTGTGGTGGGGATCTTCAGTGCATTTGGCCTGGTCTTCACAGTCTCTCTCTTTGCATGGATATGCTGTCAGAGAAAGTCATCCAAGTCTAACAAGACACCCCCTTACAAGTTTGTGCATGTGCTCAAGGGAGTTGATATTTACCCTGAAAACCTAAGTAGCAAAAAGAAGTTTGGAGCTGATGACAAAACTGAAGTGAAAAATAAGCCAGCTTTGCCAAAGCATGCATTGCACCTTGATCTTGAGAAGAGAGATCTCAATGGTAATTTTCCCAAAAAAGCTGCTGGTCCTTCGGATCTGGAGAATGTGCCTCCGAAGCTCTCTACAGAAGGAGAAAAAGAGGGTGTTTCCCCAGAGAGCTTAAAGTCCAGCACTTCTCTAACCTCAGAAGAGAAACAAGAGAAGCTGGGCATCCTCTTCTTCTCTTTAGAGTACAACTTTGAGAAAAAAGCATTTGTGGTGAATATCAAGGAAGCCCGTGGTTTGCCGGCCATGGATGAGCAGTCAATGACCTCCGACCCTTACATCAAAATGACGATCCTCCCAGAGAAAAAGCATAAAGTAAAAACCAGAGTGCTGAGGAAAACCTTGGACCCGGCCTTTGACGAGACCTTCACGTTCTATGGGATCCCCTACACCCAGATCCAAGAGTTGACCCTGCACTTCACCATCCTGAGTTTTGACAGGTTTTCAAGAGATGATATTATTGGGGAAGTCCTGATTCCTCTCTCAGGAATTGAATTGTCTGACGGAAAAACAGTAATGAACAGAGAGATCATCAAGAGAAATGTTAGGGTAATTCATTTTCAGCACTTAATTATTGATGGTTGATCTTTTCAATAGTTATTTTTTATCCAGCGTGTTTTCACTAAAAAGATAAATTTGTGTATATCATCCTCCTCCTATTCATTATAATCAAATGGAGAACAAGGGGTCTGAAGAGATAAGTGAAAATTTAAGCTACAATTGAAACACTCGAATAAATAATTGAAACACATAATTTTAATAGCATAAAATATTGTTTATAGCTATTATTTCTATAAATACATTTATTAATTTCTACAATAGGTATTTGACAAAGTATTTCAAGGTCATTTTAATTGAAGTTGAAATTAAAAGTTAAATCAATTCTTCCCTAGGATTTCGAAGTGGTGTTGACTCATGGAATTGCTTTCCGGGGAGACACTGCTTCCTATCGAATCATGTGTGTCTTCCTCTGTGTTGCATAACAGGAGGAGAGTTCATCTGTCATATTTATGCTACCTTGATAGTTGGATTATTATAAAATAACAATAAATCATTCAAACAAATTTAACTTTTTTTCTTTTTTGCACTTTAAATGCAGAACTCAATTGTTTCCAATAGTAGCAATTCTGGTTAAATTTTGAATATCATGGCAGAATTTATGGAATATGATAAATTCACTAATATGGTTTTAGAAGAACAGTGTTTCAGAGCTGAAAACAAGTTTAAAACTTGTTTAAATCATCTCCTTGTCAATCATCCACTGAAACTAACAACGTTCAAGGCTCACAGATGCTGCACAGCTAAGTTGATGCGCACGGCTATTTTATGGTCCAGTGGGAATCAGGATATGTCCACTTGCCTTATTTTCCTGGGATCACTTTTCACATAACTTACCTCCACGGATTGGTTTGGCCCTAGTCATCATTCTTAGTTACCATCAAAACCCAAGTTACTTTGGGTTTAAAACGTGTACTTTGAGTCCTTAATTGTCTTATTGAATGTCTTTAAAGTACGAATACAAGTCCCATGCAGGATTGAAGTGACACTGTCCAGAAGCAACATACTCATAAACCAAAGTCTTCCTGTACTTCAAGTCATTTCTTGAACTAAATGGAGACTTGATGTTAGTGAGAAGGCACAGAACTCTAACACTTAGCAGCCTTCTGGGACAGGAGAGGGAGAGGCATCAAGAAATCTCATTTACTCTAAACTGAAATCCCAGTAAAATCAATGCTAATCAATTTGAAGTTAAATAAAACTCATGTTTTAACTGTTACATAAAACTAATTTTAAACGAATCATTTGCTCCTACAAAAACAGATTCAAAAGATAGACAGTTTTTATTATGATGAATATCTTCATAGAGTGCATGCTACTGAAAATCGAAATTTGAAAACATGCCCATTTAGGGTTTCATTTGATTTTTTTTAAGGGGTTTTTAAAGAATGGGTGTGGCCGCACGCGTAAAAATTTAACATTGTGCAGTACTGAAAAAGACCACAAGATGGCAGGCAGTTGTTTTTACTCCATGATGCTAACTCACACAGGCTTTTGGTGAATCACTCAGCCGATCAAAATTAAAAGATAACGATATTACACTTGCATAGTCGTGCAAGCATATTGATTTTAAATTGCTATGAACGGACAAACTTCATATCTAAGAAACATAATAAAAATATTTATACTCTATTTCTCTTTGTTTAGAAGTCTTCAGGAAGAGGCGAGTTACTGATCTCCCTCTGTTATCAATCCACTACAAACACCCTTACTGTGGTTGTCTTAAAAGCCCGACACCTACCTAAGTCGGATGTTTCTGGACTTTCAGGTAAGAAAATGCTCAGCATCTTTGTGCAAGTGGGCTATGTATTGAGAAAAAACAAAACAGTTAACAGCTAACACTAACGGATGAAATTGTTCTACCTTCTACTTCACATGACAAGAGATGCAGCTGTTTTCTACTTTTTTTTTAAATCACGAAATCAGCCAGTAACCACAACAAGAATAGTATTTACAGAGCACTAGGAATTAAGCAAAGCTATGTCTTGTAGACGTCTGGCTGAATGCAATAAAAGAAACATCTGTGTTCAATACAGAAGTAAGAGTTCATTGTCAAAAGTGGCAAGTTGGAAACAAAAGTAAGGCCCAGGAGAAGAGTTTTATATATATATTTATATATATATGTATATATTGAAGTCATTATATATATATATATATAATATATATAATATATATAATATATAATATATATATAATGCTATATATATATAATGCTAAGATCAATTGAAGTCATTTTATATATATATAAATATATATAAAATATATATAAATATATATATTATATATATATATTTATATATAAATAAATATATATATATATATATATAATATATATAATATATAATATATATAATATATATATATATATATATATATATAATATAATATATATATATAATATATATAATGACTTATATATTATATATATAATGACTTCAATTGATCTTAGTCTGTTTATCAATTCTTATTTTCTAAATGTGTTTTGAGAATTAGTTTTGAGTGTTGTGATGATCTCTGAAAATAATGAAGCAAAGCAGCACAGATTACGAACCATGCTTTTTTTTTTTGTTACAAAGCAGTGAACAGGAACATGCATTAGATGGGTTAAATAGTCTCAGTCAAAACCTAAGTGCAATATTAGGAATTTTTTAAGCTCTATAAACTGGGCATAACAATGCTTGTCTTGAGGGATCCATGAAGCAGGAATTACAGACTTCGTAAATACCATCTGATGCTATCATTAATATTATGCAATGATGGAGGTTGAAAAACGTGGTGTTCAAATTTGGAGTAAGAAGTTAAAATGAACTCACCTGTTCAAATCAGGAAAAGATCACAGTAATGTAATTAATTGTGTGAAAAAGTCACATAACCCTAAAATCCACATGCTGTGACACAGATAAGCTCCATTCTAGGAAACACAAAATGATTCTGGCAGATGATTAAAGAATCACAAAAAAGTTGAAGAAAGAGCACTGTCAATAAAAGAGCAGCCACATTCAGAGACAGAAAGACGTACATAAAAGTCATAAGATTCTACACGGTTAATATCATCTAAGGGTTTTTTCCCCCTCTGTCCCACCATCGAAAATGAGTCATTAGGCATCAGAATATGTACGCAGATTTTTAACTTTCTTCCTTTTTTAATATTTTCTCCTCTTTCTGCTTCTTATCCATTTCCTGTCAACTGTGTTAATGATCATTTCATTTTCCCTTACATCAATTTTTTTTTCTAAGAGAAGGCAAGATTTATTTATATTTTCCTTTGTCTGGCCTCCACCCCGTTCTCACCACATTTCACGGTCATGCGCTGATTTCCAAGGACGCTGTTGTCTTGAGATCAGCTCTTCAGCTCTGACGTAATAATGCCTGCCGTGTACTTTTTGCAGATCCCTACGTCAAAGTCAACCTGTACCATGCCAAAAAGAGAATCTCCAAAAAGAAGACTCATGTGAAGAAGTGCGCCCCCAATGCCGTGTTCAATGAACTGTTTGTTTTCGATATCCCTTGTGAGAGTCTTGAAGAAATAAGTGTTGAATTTCTGGTGTTGGATTCCGAAAGGGGATCCCGCAATGAGGTGATAGGGAGGTTGGTCCTCAGTGCCACAGCAGAAGGAAGCGGAGGCGAGCATTGGAAGGAGATCTGTGACTATCCCCGGAGGCAAATCGCCAAGTGGCACATGCTCTGTGGCGGTTAGCATCCTGGCGCTGACTTGGAACTGAAAGGTTTTTATTAGGCAAAGAGCAATTTTCTTTCTATCTGATGTCATGATTGCAAGCTTGTGACAGCAAGCAACCTTTTTTTTGTTGTTGTTAGAAGTGGATTGAACTAGTATATCAGAGACTAACTGTAAATGTGTATCATGACAATTTCCCCCTTTTATTAGAGAAGTTGGATAAATTTTCATAAGATATCCAGTTTCCCTTGTGAATCACTAGTGACAGAAGTGCAAGTAATCAAACATTTTATGACTACTATAACTCAGTCCCAAGTCATAGATGAGGTTTAGGGGACTATCTCATTGGCACCCGTCACTGGGTTTTCATGTGATTGTTAGGATTTAAATTTGAAAAGCATGTCTTCTCTTATGAAAATTCATCCATTTTTTTCCCTGCGGGTAGGGGAAATCAATTTTTCTTTAAATCCAAAGATGTTAAAGAAATGTCCTCTAGTTGCTGTTATTAATTATGTCATGTGCAAATGGTTGTCCGGCTTATGAAAATACTTGGTCATTTGTCTTTGATTTGTAATTATTTGCTACGATTTTTATCATCAGAGAAATAATGTTGGTTCATTCCAAAAGGACAGTGAACAAGCTGAAAATTCACTTTATTAAAGGGCTGAATTGAGCATACTGTGGCTGAAATATGGTTTTTCTCCCTGCCTAAGTTACATGTGAGTCAAATGTAAAATATAACCTCATGTAAGAACTATGGCCTTTAAGTATTCACTGCCTGTCCCAAGCCTCACAGTGGCCTAAGACACCCCTATCACTTTCACAAAGTCATGGAAGTCAATAGTGGATATAAAAATAAAGTTCGACTAGGAATCCAGTTAGAAACATATTTTTTTTTAAGAAATGTGTGCAGTGTCCAAGCATATGCTCAAGGAACAGCTTCTGTACCCAGAGAGCATGGTTACCTAAATCTACATTTAATTTATTCTCTACTAGAAGTGATGAAGTCACTAGTTGAAAAAGAAAAGATGGGGTGAAAAGGACTTTGAAATGTTGCCAGATAGAAAGTGTTACTTCAACCAACCAACTAACAAGTAAATGATAAGGCTTACAAGTAGTTCAATAGCAAGCCTACTGTAATTTACATGAAGTCCACACAAGTTAAACATAGGCAGTCAAATTAGCAGAAAAAAGTATGTGTTTCATTCACCTTTTTCTACGCTAATTTGTCTTAAGCTCTTATCTGCAGAACAGTTTACAGACTTGTATCTTGTACCATTTCGCAGTGTCAGGATCCTCAAATTATTCAAGTCTTATTAGGGGAAAGCAGAACCCTCTGCTTGTTTGGGAAGCATCAACTTGAGGACAATGCACTGTATTTGAATTTTTAGGGAAGTTCAAGTGAAACTTGGGTACAGTTGACTTACTAAATATGCAAGTTAGAAATACAGTCTACTGAAAATGTACATTTTTGAGTCAGATTTTGTGTGAGTACTTTAGCAGATTTTGAGAATGTGTTTGATATCACAGTGTTTGTAAAATTGTATGAAAATGCATTTTCCAAACAACTTATATATGCTTTTTATGATTATACCTAATATAAACAGGTGTCTTTCTTTATGTCTGTACAAATATTGAAAATCAACCTTTTGTGATTTACGGCAATGTTAGTAATGAGAAAGACTCTTTTCCATTCACTGTCTTCATTAAGATACCAAGTCACGTCATAGCATCATGGTCCACTCAGCATTTCTATGAAAGCAACATGCAATGACTGGTAGTCAGCAGGTAGTCTGGGGAAGCCAGATGGCCTTCATATGTCTGTACATTTAGCATTGTGGGCCATAGAATATTTTCCATTTGGAGTTCTGAGGGTTGTGAGGGCTGAGTTTGAATATATTTCATAGCAGCCAGAATTTAATGGTAGTACCAGTAGAAAAATGACTGTTAGAGGGGGTGATTTTTTAAAGTGGATCAACAAAACCAATCACAAAATCTTTAAAAATTACATAATTTGTAAATAGCTTTAATTTTAAAATCTGAGATGTTTTCAGTGTGAAACGTTAAGTAAAACTATTTGCAAATGGTTTTAATGAAAGAAAGAAGCAAAACAGGAAAGGACTAGAAACAGGCAGGTAGATATATGATCTCATCTTCTGAAAATTGTACTGTTCTACAATGCATCACAATATCAATGTGAATATCTTGAATTCTGTTGCAATCCTGCACTGTATTAAACTTGTAAATTAATTGTTTGTCTAAATAGCCAATTAACCACCCTAATAGGGAGGTGTCCATGTTTGAAGAACTGTGTAACTCAGTAACTGATTTGCTCTGATGTTTAATTCAATAGAAGTGATTTGGAAGGAAGCATGGTGTACGAGATGGTGTCTGTTCCTTTGTGCCAGCTCTATATGATGTTTGTAAGACCATGTTTGTAAGACATGAATAAATTGCTGCTTTTGGCCAAGGCTTTTACTCTTCCTTGCCAGTAAACCCTAACAGGTGGCTGATCGTCCAGCTCAGATCTCCCGGTATTAACTACTCAACATTAATGACAGCTCCCAGAGTTTTCATTTTTGTTTTAATTTGTTTATTCCTAATGCTGATATCTTGTCATGGATATCATGATCTCTATCATACAGAAGAAAACTCAGGCTGAAACACCTTAGGGTAATTAAAACAATAGTGCAAGATGGCAGGCAAAGGATTTTATGACATGCCCCTCCTCCTTCTCCCTTAATGGGGCCTCGTCAATGGTGGTTCTACATTGTTTTCAATTATTTAATTTTTGGAAGAAGGATATATATATATATATATATATATATATGCATATATATTTATATTTAGAGGGAAACTGAGGAAAAAACTCTCCTGTGCCAATTCCCTCCCCAGTGCCTATCACAGCTAGATTGAGTGTTGGCTAAAATGGGTAGCAGAAACTCCAGAGTGCCCCATGTGGGAGTCAGAAACCATGTGCTTCAACTGTATTCATTGCCTTCTAGTCTGAAAATTAGCAGGAAGCTGAAACCAGGAACATAATTCAAACCTAGGCACTCCTTTGGGTCTCAATTGTTGTGCTAAAGCTTGCCCTGACTAGATTCTTCGAGAATGCGATTTCTGCTTCTCCCTAAATTATACTTTCTTGTTCACATTTTATTTACTTTTTCCTGTTATATATAGTGATATTCTTTATTACCCCCCCTTTTTTTCTTTTCTCATTTTGATCTTTTCCACTTAGTTCACATCGTTGTCTTTCTAATTTTTCACATCTTATACTCCATGGCCTGAGTGAAATGGAAGGCGTATTTGTTTCTAAAGATGGGGACAACATCCAGGACATTTACCATGTTCCAATCAGACACAAGTTGAGGTGAGTCAGAGAAATAAGATGTACCAACAGAGGCACTGACACTTTTACAGCTCTGCTTTACAGGGAAGTATGCCCTGGTGCTCATATGGACGGACATAATGAGTAAAATTTTCCGCAAGTATATTTTAATCTCAAATAATGACTGAATTAAGAATATGTCACAGGGCCTGGTGCAGTAGCCTCGTGACTAAATCCTCACCTTGCATCTGTGAGGATCCCGTATGGGAGCTGGCTTTTATCCCAGCTGCTTCATTTCCCATCTAGCTCCCTACTTGTGCATGGGAAAGCAGTAGAGAATGACCCAAGGCCTTGGGACACTTCCCCATGTGACAGAACAAGTAGAAGAATCTCCTGGCACCTGTCTTAGGATTGGTTCAACTCGGCCATTGTAGCCACTTGGAGAATGAACCAATGGATGAAAGCTCTTTATCTCTCCCTCTCTCAGTGTATCTGCCTTTCCCATCAAAATAAAATAAAGTAAACCTAAAAATAAGACTGTGTCACGGGCATGCTAGAAAGTTACACGATAACCATAGTGAAGAGTTCAAATGCATTTCAAGACTATCCTTGAGCCAAAATCTACAGGGTCATGGAGCAGATTTTGCAAGGGAGTTATGAGGATGATATTAACTAAATCCATAGTAAGATTTCATTTCACATCTGTTGAAATCATAGCTGTTAAAAAGCAGAAAATATCGACTGTTGGACGATTCCTACAACACTGGTAAGAATGAGAAATGTTTAATTAGTTTGAAAAGTAAGATGTTAACTTCTTAAAATGTTAACCATATCTTCACCACAAGACCCAAAAATTCAACTTCTAACTACTTAATTAAGAAATAAAATCATGTATTTACACAGACTTGTGCATAGATTGTTATACCAGCTTTGTCTGTACTAATCAAAAACTAAAGTCAACATAGATCCATTGATAGGTGAATGGATAAATTTTAGTACAACTGCACATCAGAATACTGTTCACCACTAAAAGTAAATGAAACATAAATGACTTCCACAGTGATTTTGCCAATTAAACTAATGTGGGATCTCATGTATGTATTCCATAGATTCCATTTATAAAACATTGAAGCCAGTACAAGCTAATTTACATTTAAAAAAAATCAGTGTTAACTTTGAGTGGTAGATGAGATATGGATGGGGAGTGGTGATGAGAGAGACGAAGCATTTGGGATGAAATTCCAGGAAAAATCAATATATTAACTTCTATGATTTTGATGATGGTTTCATGGAGGAATATATGTAAAATCATGTTTTAAAAATGTGTACAGTTTATTATATGTAAATCTTTCCCAAATTAAAATGATCCAGGGGAGAATCATAGAATAGAAATCAAGTAAACTTATTCAAATAAAGATTTATAATAGTAACATGACTACCAGAAATGTAATTCCTGAAAAATTGGTAACTATGCAATCTACCTTGGGGGAGTTCTTTTTGTCATGAACACATGCTATTCTAGGAATGTTTACTTATCTGATTGCTTTTTAAATTCATGCAAAAAAGTTCTTGTGTAATTTTGCTGCCAACTCAGTGTTCATTTAAGTGTACTTTGGTATGCATTTTATTTCTGTTTTTAAGACATTGAATGTTAAATTCTATTTTATTTTTACAGTTATGTGAAATATTTTCAGCGCTCCAACGCTAAATTTAGGAATAAGATTCCTTAACAGAAACCCATCATATACTTATGCATTCAACCTGTTTGCTCCTTTTTTTTTTTATCATAATGACTTTAATAACATTTTGGCATAGTCCTTTTTTTAAAGACAAGTTTGTTTTTGAAAGTCTGTTACAGAGGGACAGAGAGACAGAGAAATAGAGAGACAGAGAGACAAAGAGGCAGAAATATTTGGACATTTTTCCCCCAAACGAATGCAAGGATCAAGGCTGGGCCAGTCCCAAGACA